GGGGGGATGAGAGAAAGATGTTCCAGGGTAAAGTTGCTTTTAAAAATGTATGCGAGTCGACACGTAAAAGCTTGACAAAATTCAGTACTGACTGTTACAAGCGGTTCGTCACGTAAATCTTAACCGGGTACCAGTAGAAAGAGTATTGTACTGGTGGAATTTACGGAACCGAGCCGTGGGAGAATAGAAAGAACGGCTGCGACTACTGCGAGAATTGAAACACACATTTAACTACAATACGTCAGTGTAGCAAGCAGCTTCACCGCGGAACACACCTTTGGACAGTGCTGAACTACTAATAAATCGATACCAATAATAATCGGACTGTCTTCGCTCAGCACTCCTAAGCTACTCATGTAAGAGCGTTTGCGTGCTACCTAAACATGTTGAAATAAATATAGAGACAAGCACGCGCTAGCGCGCGCACCCCGCCCACCCCACCCCCCGGCCCCCGGGCCCACCTTTTAGTACGGTCAAGGCCGAGGGTGGCAAGCAGGTCAGGTCACTTGAGGAGGCTTTTGTGTAGCCCGCGGCTACACGCAGGTTAGACTCCAAGCTATACGTTCTTATACTATCTCTGACCGTCTAGACTCTAAGCAATACATTTTTGAATCTTCTTTACTTTTAATACCCTTACCTAATCGGGAACAGTCAAAACACGCAAAGGCCGCACTGAATGATTGATTCAAACTTGGAATGTAAATGTAGGCCTCACACTATTTACTCCCCCACTGACAATGATTCAAGACATTACTTAGGTAGGGCCATTTTCAGCGATGGGGTCTCATGGGGTAAATTTGTAACTTTGTTACTATTTTATGATCTTTAGAAGATCTAGACCTAGCTAGATCTACAGGGAAAAGTGATGCTGCTGTTCATTTGGTTGACAAAAGAGAGAGATTTAGATCTAGATCTTGATCTAGAATCTACATACATGTACTACACAGATCTACAACGTAGGCTTAGAGTATTTTTGCATTATTTTGCAAAAGCAAAAAGAGCGCAGTTGACATAGAGATCTACACACAGTAGGCTACTCACTTCCTAGATCTATACCCTAGAGTCTATAGCCTACTTCATAGGGGGGGGGGGGAACAACTAAAAAACTTTCCACAAAATTTGACAAAATGCTAATGAAGTGACAAACAAGCAGACGCCAGACGGTAAGTCAGCCAGAGACCAACAGACAGACAGACAGACAGACAGAGAGGTAACCAGACAAACCGACCAACCGATCGAGACAGAAAGATGGACCAAGATAGATCTATAGAGTCTAGATACCTGTACATCAACCAATCAACAAAGTCAACACGGAGTCGCGCGCGTGGAACACGTGCACTGGACGACTTCTTTGAACACAGAAAGCACAGCACCACTATTATCCACGAGCCAGCACTAGCCTAAGGCTCAAGTAGGCTAGATTTTAACAGAGAAATGCCAACTCCCACACGACCACTGCCACTACAACAACAAAGTACCATGAATGCAAGTAGTCGTTCTTAGTCTAATGTTATCCGCTTTGCGCTCTTCATACAATGAACCAACGAAATAAACTGTCCCAGCCAGTCACGCTCAACCACCGACTGAGAACTAGTGAGAACTGAAGCAACGAGCTGCAGCGGGCTGGTTGGTGGTAGTCTAGTGTACCGACTCCACACGCACACACACACAACTACCGAAGAGGAAATTGTTGGATTATATCGTACTCGACTCGGCAGGTGAAGAGGAAGCAGGATATTGGAGGAACGCACACACACGCACACACAACACCCAATGCGCGGGAGAGGGGGAGGGAGCGACATTCGGGCGCAAACACAAGCACGCACAGGTAAACACACACACA